AAAATATGTAATATTTTTCTATTTAAATTGTTCTATTCTTCTGAGAGCTTGAAAAAATCACTCGAAGGACCTTAAAACACTGAGCACTTATTTTCTCACATTTTTTCACTTTTTTTTCTTAGTTTAACTTCGAGTTTTCCAATTCTATCTAGATTCAAATTTCATTCTTATTTTGTGAAGTTGATGAAAACATGTTTAAACATAAAAAGAAATCAGGATAAAATCAGAGGTTTTTTCCAATAGTCTTGTAACATTCTACATACAGATTTTGATAAATCTTTATGAATCGATTTACATATTTTCTTTTTTTATTATTTTATTTTATTAGGAAAAACGAATTATGTAACTTTTTTCTAACTTATAAATTCTATTTCTTTTTTTCATTTATTAATATTTTCATTTATTTTTTTAGGTTTAGTGATTCTTTTATTTTACGTTTTTTATTAATATTTTTATGTATAAAACTAATGCTTAATATTGAAAGTTAATAGTTATTTATATGCATCTCAATTATCTGATTTGAGCGAGTGTAAGAACTTTCCAGGATAGAATAAAATGATTTTCAAACTGATGATAAACAATATTTACTTCATCCTTTTGAAACATTTGGAAATCTTTCAAAAAAAACCCCCAATGTTGAAATAGTTAACGATTATTCAATCGATTGCAGATGTATAGTTATTTAAACTCTGGATTTGAATTATGTACTTGTTATATGATAAGTAGCAAATTTTAATGAAACAATAAAACATCTCAACAAATCAACTAAACACAAATCAAGGGAATTTTTTCTTATTTTAGATTTATGTTATTTATGATCGTAATCATTAAAAATTTGACAAAACTATTTATATGTATTTTTTTAGTTTTGGAACAGAAAACGTATAGACTTAATTTAATGTTTCAAAAAGATAATATGCTAAAAATAAAGGATAAAACATTTTTGAACATGCCCAACAAGGATTTCATTGAGAGAAAATAATAAAATTGAGATCGAACCCAAAAACTTAAAGTGCAAAACTAAAAAAGAGATAGATTTATGAATGTAAAATTACTGAACTGTTTTTAATTAAATATTTGAAATAAGTAGGTATTACTAATAAATTCATGAAAAGAAACAAAAAACGTTTAGCGAAAATATTTTAGGATTAAAAAAGGATTATGGTACATTTAAATTGAAACTTATCAAAAATCAGCTCTCAGATTAAAAACAGAAAAATTATACATTACAAGAATTGATATAAACTTTTTAAATTTACTTGAAGTTAAAATAATTATAATATAAGAACCAGAAAATATCCTCATCTAACTCTTGCTTTCATCTTATCATTCAGAATAAAGCAAAGTTATTTTCAAAATTTCTAACAAAACAAAATGAGAAAAATAAAAAGAATACTACTTCATATCAATTACTATTTAATTAAGTAAAATTTTTATTATGACGGTTTCGGGACTTCTGATATTATTTTTTCTTTCAGAAAACATTCATGAAAAAAGTATGAAGAGGAACTACTTCTTCAGTTAATAATATAAAATTAATCACGTAAATAAAAATTTCAGTTGTTTTTTGACATTTTCCCTACTGTGAAATATTAATGGTTATTATTATTTAGATTTTACTTTTATAGTCATTATTCAGGAAAGAAAAGAAGAAAAAAAAAGAAGAATGATTGAAAATATTTCTCATAAAAATTTTGCTGATTTACCCATGTTCCTCCCTAAATATTTTTGAAAGAAGTAAACATAAAAACTCAAATCTTTCCCAAATTATGAGTCAATAGCTTAAGTTTTTGAAGTCTTCTTTTAACGACGAGTGTTGGCAAATATGTTACCACTTGCATTTGTGTTTCCATTATTCCTTGAACCGATTCCTCTATCTGCACGGTTGAACGGACGATTATTACCTCGATCTTCGCGACGATCATTACGTCCTCCTGATCCATTGCGATTCATACCATTTCCAGGGTTGCTATTTCGTCCGCGGTCGTTATTAGATCCATTAGTTGAAGTGCGAGGAGTTTGACTTCCTTCTTTTCGAATCTTTAATTCAACGTTCAACATTTGGCCAGTAGAATCTTTCAAATCCGGATAGAATATGGGCTAAATAGATACAATTTCTTTTATATTACAATTTATGATCGAATGAATAAAACAAAACTCACTGTCGATTCTTGCAGTTTTAAAGCGCTTGCTGAGTCTTCGAATGTTACAAATCCAAAGCTTGGGACCGGACGATTTTGACTGTTTTTCTGCTGTTGCTTATTTAAAATACGAAGGTCAGTGATCTTTCCAAAAACACCAAACATTTGACGAAGTTCATCTTCAGTAGCACGATTTGGTAAATTTCCAATGAAAAGTTGACAGTTGTTTTCTTGATTGTTACTGTTATTATAATTTCCTCCGCTGGTACGCCGTTCTCGTAAATTGTTATTATTGTTATTACGAACTGGACGACGATCATTACTAGAGCCGAAGTGGTCGGTTTGAAGCTTCTGATAATTATGCTGAGCTTGTTGTTGCTGTTGTTGTTGGGTGATAGCAACAAAAGAAGTTGGCTGAGTTGCAACTGAAGCTTCAGGTTGTGGTACTGATGTTGTGAATCCCAAACCAGGACCACCTTTGACAAGATTTGCCCAGTTTTTTGGTGGTGAAGCTGACGGAACTGCTGATGAATTCAGAGATGATTGGATGACTTCTTCTCTGGTAGCATCTTCTTTATTATTTTCCATCGCGTCTGTCTCGGATTCTAAAAGTGATATGTAAACTTAATTTCACCAAAATACTTTTTCAAATATGTTCTTTTTACCATTCGACTGATCTGCATCGTATTGATTGTTTTCATTCAAAATGGGAATTTCGGAAGAAACAACTGCAACAGGCTCAACAGGCATTGGCAATGAATTAGGAGCTGGAGCGATAGGAATTTGCTGAGCAGTTTGGGGAATAATCGATGCAGGAGGTCCTTGTATGATTTGAGGAGCCTGTTGAGCCTTCAATAATTCATCATGAATTATTCCATTAACTTGTCCTCCACTTTGAGGTTGACCAGGCAAAGTTTGGGGAGCGAAGTTGGATAATATTGCAGGACTGTTAACAACATTAGTAGGAGCTGGATAGAATACCGGATTTTGCGTGACAATAATAGAAGCCGAGCTATCACTAGATGTTGTAGTGACATTAGATTCATTATTATCATGCTCATCACCTCCTCGTGTGTTGGCTTCATCATCATCATTATACATATCCTGGTAGCGAAAGATGTCATTATGAACGTAGTATTTCTTTGGCGATTGACATGCCAAAACAAATGTTTGTGTGAACCGTCGCATCGGATGTCCATCGTTTGACAATTCACCAGACACTTGAACAACGACACCATCACCAAGAGTTGCCTGAGCATCCACATACGAGATTTTTGCATGACAATCTCGGAAATTCAATTGTTGAATCTTGTCATGAATATTCTTTTGACCAATAATCAAAACATCATCTTTGCTTGGATCTGGATCTAAGCCTCCGTGAGTGAAACTTGAATGTTGATTATAGAAACTTGAAAAGATAAGAAAAATAATGAGTTCAATATTCAACAATAATTAAAATAAACTATTTACCGATGAAGATGGTCAGGAGAGTTGTGAAGAAGGGTGTAATATTGACGAACAAATTCGCGTCCAACAATAAGAGGAGATGGTTTGGCCTCCATTACCATGGTACTCCGTATGAATCACTATAATTAAGCCTTTAAGGTAGATAAGAATATAATTTCTAAAAACATATATACATATATATAAATTTTTTAAATATTCTAAATATTGGAGAATATTGGGGAATTTAATAAAAAGAAATTAGGTAGCTTCTATTTATCAGATCTTAAATTTTAGAGTCGAATTACATTAAAAGAAGTAATGAACATATTCATCATTTGAAGAACTTCAACTTGATGATTATTTGAAAAAAAAAATGCGTCGTAGAAACACCGTCAACAAAGAAAACTTTCGCTCGTTAGATACAAAAAAAATTGACTTTCATTCAGAATGTTTTTTCCTTTCATTTGATACTGAAACCTTTAAGATTTTACCAGAATTTTCTCATGTCTCAGACACCATATATATTTTTTAGAATTCCGGCTAGAAAATGCTTAATATTTAGTTCTAATGTTGACAAATATAATAAATAAATCAACACGAGGTGACTATTAGATACTGAAAGAGGATATTAGAAGCGTAAGGTATGACTGTATGGAAAAATCGAAATATTAAGCGCGTCTAGAATTGGACCAAATGAAATATATTTCATATCACTAAAAGGGGTTCCAAATTTTCAGGTATCATCTCAAACTTTAGTATAAAGAAAAAACTATAGTGAATATTATAACTTAGAGCTGAAAATGGCAAAAAATCTTTAAACAACGTGAAATATCTTAAAAAAATTTGAGCTTTGTAACCTTAAATGCAGATTTCTTTCAATATTTAAACTAAGAATACTTACAGCAGGAGAAAATGAAAATTTCTAGTCTGTTTATTGATGAATTTGTTTTGATGTAAAAGTTTCAATGCGTGTATTTCAAATTTAAAATATAATTCAAAGTCTCTTGATAGAGTAAAAAATTTTATTTCACAGAATACACTACCCTTCAGGGTAGTTAGTTTCAGGTGGAGAGTGTGAAATCTCGCGGAACTTCACGAAGTTCGCAGACGAAAATTTTTTTGTAGCACTTTTGGGTGGAGAGTGTTCAATCAGCTTCGGACAAATTATCAGCTTCGGACGAAGTTTTTGCCAACTTTGTATGAAAAGTTGGTTTCCGGTCCGCGGAAAAACTAGCTAATCCGAGTCAGTGATTTTCAGTTCCGAAAATAAGTATTTCGAAGGGCTCTCGCTACGCCAAAAGTCTGTAGGGCTGTATTAGGGTTAATTTAAAATATATTCCAAATATTTTCATATGTGAACGTATGCCATATTCTTTATGCATTACAATTTTGTAGCATAAAAAGCATTTTTATTTATGATTTTAAATATCCAAAATTGATACATATGTTAATTAAGGTTGAACAAAATGTTTTCAAAAATTCTTCTGTCTAACCATTCATAACTTCAGGTTCTTTCTGATGTCTAGCAGCATTTAATCGTGTAGGGAATAATCTATAAGGCATTTTTTCAAAAGATGCCATTTTATGAAGAAACGGATAGCATGATTACCTCAGGATAAATCTTTGTACGAACTGAGGCTTCCTGTAGATGTCAAGCGCTATGTTCTTCTTTTCTACCAATAGTTATAAATCCGAAAAGACGGTTTTATTATCTTTAGAAGTTTCAAAACTTAATTTTATACCTATTTGTCGAAATTTTATTTAATTCTTCTTTTAAATTTGAAACTTCACCTTTTTTATGACGGCTATGACATTATCCACATATATTTTCCTACATCTTGGAAACCAAATAAGACCTTTTTGAAGCTCCGAATTTAAGGTTACTCACGAAAACATTTTCTGCTAACGGTGAAAAACTATTTCCCATGCGCAGACCAGAAATTTGTTCAAAGTATCCTATTTAAATTTACTTTGTTCCATGCAAACCTCTCGAACGGCACAACTGCTCATGTATGCATGCAGTTTGATTTTAACGGATTTCGTCTGGTATTGTCAAGAAAAATCCGTGAAAGTCAACAAATATGAAAATTTCCGTTGCAATTATCCCATTAGATGCCTATGCGGTCGCATAATCAAGGCCACATGTAAGACTATAGTCTCTAAAGTGTTTTAATAAATTTTATTTCTTATTTTCATACATTAATTAAGTTTTAAATTCAAACTTAATTTATAAAACTAAGAAATAATTAGAGTGTTTCTTTTTTATTTTCCTTTGAATTTTTTCCTTTAGATTCAAAACTCATACCAACTATTTCTGCAAAATCGGTATATGTAGCATTGAAATTTACATAAATGACCTTTCAATTGATGTATCTATTGCATGCAGAAAGGAAAGTTGCCGTATGGTGATAAAAATCTCAAAAAAAGCCGATGGAACGTTCCCGTAAAAATTTAAAAAATGAATAATAGATTCGACAGTTTTTAACCTTGAGGGAGCACAACTTTAACTTCTTTACATACCTAACACGGATCGATGATCCTCGTTCAACACATTATGCAATATTAATTTTACTCTTTAAAAATATAAAGGCTTTTATTTTAAGTAGGTACTCTATACGTATATGTAAGTAATATTTTATTTACTTTAATTAATTTTATATTTTATTATCTATCTGTCATCGCTATAAAGTAGATAGAATATTCTTAAAGATGATGCATATTTATTTATTTGTATAATTCTTTTTCTATTTAGATAAGTCAAAAACATTTTGTCACCAAATTTGTTCCCTTTTGACAAAGACCAGTAAAAATATTAATCCATTGACTTCAAAAATGTTTATAAGGAGCGTTAATAAATGAGTTATTAATAAGTACCTAATACATGAATCCATTCCATATTTTTAAACAACCCATTAAAAACGAATTATTTATTCCATCATTATTATTTATTTATCGTTTATTTGCATTACAATTTATGAGATTGTTATCCAAATATTTTAAGTACATTACTTATTTTTTATTCAGATATTGTATTTCTATAAAATAATCAAAAGTAAATGTCGATTTTTTTTCTTCAAAGTGTTCCATACTCTTATTCCATATTTTAATTGTTGAGAAATTTTTTCAATGTAAGTAAGAACTAAGGAACTCATATTCGTACATATGTACATATCATATGTAACAATCAATTAACGATAAGAAAAAAAAAATCTCAAAAAATCTAGAAGTTTAGTTCAATAAAAAGTCTATGCTTTATTAAGTTAGATTCTTTTTTCCTATATTATGAAGATATATCTTATGATAATGTGAGGATTTAATTCTATTTCTTATCAGATTTTTGTAATATTTAATTTAAAAAAAATGAACGAATTATTTAGAAGAATTAGATGGCATTTACATATAATCGCAAAAAAATAAAAAAAAGATAATGTTGAAGATCTTAGTATTTATTACGGTCCTGAATTATTTATGTTTTAATTAATTATGTTCAGTGATGCTTTTCTATGTTTTAAATAAAAAAGATTTCAAATATGAAACACACTCATATGATTTAGAATCTTTTTCAAGGAAATTCTTTATTTTTCTTAAAACAAAAGAAGGAAAATCTATTTTTATTTTGCATATTTATTAAAATTTATCTAAAATTACTTTAAAGAATTTTCTCTTCCTTTGAATGAATCTAAACCATAAAATAATTCCATTTTTCTTGATTTTTGAGCTTCCTGTGTGTTGAAACTTTTTTTTTATCAAATGGAATGATGGAGTTGGTGAAGGTAAAATCATTCTGTATTCAATATTTCATAGATGTCATTTTGTCTTCTTCAACAGGTAGCCCAAGATGGTATTTTTATTCTAAAATCAAGCAATAAATTGAATTATTCAATATTTAAATAATTCATTTATAATCTTTGGAAGATACCACACTGCCATTGAAATATTTAATGAGTTATTCTAATATTTATTACCTGAACGAATTCTTTGACAAAAATATCTTCCTCTAGAATGTGTATGTGTTTGTTTTTGTTATTTTTTTTTTGTAAGATAGTTTCGAAGATACGCAAGTTTTGATAAAAATACAATTAAATGTTGCTAAGAAAAATTTCGTGATTTGAATGCTTTTAGTTGCAGATGAGGCAAATAAATTCAGATGATTAATACGGCTGATGTCTTTGCTGACGACCGGCACCTCTCTGCTTACCACCTTGGTAGTTTCCACCACCTGTTCAAAAAAAAAAGAAAGAAAACAACATGTTATGTAATATCTAATCACTGAAAAGGATTTTTTGATAGCCATTTTGAAGTTATTCACGAATTTTAACTGTTCAACTCTTTAAGAAATGAAAGTTTGATGTGAGCATGATAAATTGTCAAGATAATATCAATAATGAATTGCATAATTTTGATGTTGAATTAGAATGTTTAGCATAAACATTTATAAATTAATTTTGGAGAATGTCTGCATGCATTTCTCAAAAAAATAAATAAAATGTTTTATTTTGTCAGATGGCTCATTCCAGAGTCGCTACGTTTGAGTCAATTAAATTCATTTAATAAGAATGAAAACATTTAAACCTCATGTCCATCTTTAATACTTTTTCTCTAGATATTATAAAACGCATCGACACTGGTTGTTTTGTTGTGTGGCTCTAATGTTTTCTCTTCTATTAATTTTGATGCACTAGTGGAACTGATAAGGTTAAAGTATCAATTTACGAGTGATTAAAAAAAAACTTGCATAAAATTGAACGCAAATAGAAAAATAATATTAGATATTTTAAAACATAAACATTCTATATCATTTTTCAGTTCTTATTTAATTATCAAATTAGAGTTGACTCGCTCACTAAAACTTGGGAGTTGACAAATACCTCTGCCAGTTCTTCCTCCTTGTCTGTAGCCATCGTATGAGCCATAATTTCCGCCTTGGTTGAAATTATCTACGATTAATTTATCAATCATCGTCATATTATTCCAAGTAAAAATTGGTTTGAAAAAAATACAACTTAATAAGTGAAATATCTTTAAATTTGCAACACTTTTCAAATTAATTCATTAAGATAATTAAAAATAAATTTTTTTTTATCTCAACTTTAAGACTATTTTTGATTTCTATGAGTTAGCGTGACACATTTTGATCTGAAAAATAAGAAGAAAATCACCTTTATTTTATGTCCTCGATGATCATGAGAAACACACTTTAGTTTTTTTTTTCTCCTTGAAAGAATTTTATTTCCAAATTTCTTCGTTTTGTTGGGATTACATGTTTTGGCAAATCTAATCGGATTTTTCTCATTCACTTTATCAGTTTAGACTCAAGAGGATTGGTTCTGCAATGATGAATATTCTTTAAGACAAAACATCAACCTCCAGAGCGTTTTCTTTTGTTTTTAACAAATGTTTTAGATTCGTATTTTAGGACAGAAAACTTTCAGAAAAAATAAAGTTTTCTTTATCCTAATATAACGATTTTGGTTTGCCTTTAAGTACATGTTTCTCAATGTATTTCTCATGTATCATCAAAACATTACCTTTTTCTCTACTTTCCATCTCAAAATGTGTCACCACCTCATTTCTGTTATTTAATCATTCTTTTAATTAACAAATTACAGCGAAAAAAAAGTTTAAGAAAAGGATCTATTGAGGATTTGTCTCTTCCATTTATAGTTTAATCTGTAAACTAAACAAGAACAAGTTTTTACTATTCTTTTGTTTCACGATGGTGAATAAAATGAAAATTTAAAGTAGGTTCACGATTCTTCATTAAATTTACAGAAGCAATTGGTTTTATAGTTCGTTTTTTATAGATATTATTTGAGGTATTAATAATGATTTGTTCTTAAGGTTCGAACTTAAAACATTTTAATCAAAAACAAAAACAAAAACTCAGATAAGTTCAGAAAACAAATCAGAAATATAAGATTTCTTGAAAATATACATAAAATTTGACAATAATGAAATTTAATCTCTAGAGAAAACTTGATGAAAAGTTTGAATATCGAAAAAACAACTAAATAATAACTCATGAGGCGGCCACATTTGAAAATTTATGAAAAAAACTGTACAGAAGATAATTCAAAATAACATTGGAAACATGCAATAGAAAATATTGATATTTATGTCATTTATAAGCATTAAAAAATGGAAAAACGGTCTGAACCAGAAATAGCTTTTATCGTACGAAGATAATTTTTGAAAGAATGATATTGCCATATTGGCTGTTATTTTAAAAATCTTTTCTTGATTTGTTGCCAAAGTAATAATGCAGAAACTCTCACATTTAAATCAAAAAAAAAATCGGAAAAAACACAATCGAAATGAAATTTGTTTGATCTTAAATTATTTATCGCTCTTAACCTTTTCAGTTTCATTCTTCAAACTTTCAAATGCATGAAAAACAGTGTCTGTTTCTTCATGTAAATATTGTAGCATTAACCATAACTTATATAGAACGATTTTTTAAATGCTTAAAAGTAAATCCATAAAAAATCTTTATGATCTAAAATTAGTGAAAGATGGGAGATTATTTCAACACTTTTTTCAATTTTGTATGCTTATTTTATCTCAATCTTTCATTTAACTTTTTTATGTATTTATTTATGTAGGTATGTATGTATGTATAATAAACCTTTTTTTATCAGAAGTTCTTCATGCTTTCGCTATTCCATTAAAAAGAAAAGCTAATTTGTTACTTAACTATTTACGATAGAAAAAGGAGGAAAATATAAAAAATAAAACATGTGCCAAAATACCTCATTAAGTTTTAACAGGAAAAGTATCTATGTTCTTGCTTTCAAAGTCTTCAATCCCTTTTTCATCAATGCGTACAAAACATCCACGATACTTTCTACTATTGAAAAATTTACGCGATCAAATATGTGAATAAGCATTCATCTACTTATTGAAACATTTTCAGGACAAGCGTCCTTGAGATATAGATATATTATCTATATATACAGAATATATAGAAGGGTTCATTGTAGACAAAGTCTTTGCTATTTATGTATATCTACAGAAAGTCATAAAAGCTTCAATAGGAAGGCACTTTCATTCCATCTTTTTCTTTTCTTCTATTAATAATATCATCGTCGAATAGATTATCTTTCAACAATACTCAATGAATATTATTAGTTTCCTGGTAACTTATAAGCATACAAAAAGTGACAGACTTTAAAAACCGTTTTGTAAATTATAACGAGGTATTTTGTGGTGTCTTGCTCCTTGTTTCAAATATTTAAAGCTAAACATAGCATTAGCAAAACCGAAATATACATAAGAAACAGAGAAATGTCTACTTGAATTAATCAATTATTGAAATCTTTTTTCATTTGAAACAGATATATTTGTCTAGATTTTTTAAAAAAGCGCACGAATTTACTGATAAAGAAAAAAAGAAACAAAATCTTGCGCACATTTATATATATATCTATATATAATATGTGAAATTGAAGTCTGTTAAAGTGTCAATAAGATTTAATGTTACATCATATATGCAACGTTATCAATGGAGGGTTATTTTTGTTTCTGTAGTCAACTTGACTTAACTTTTTAAGGATTTTTTTTTATTTTTACAGATTATTTTTTTTTACTTCTCTTTGATATTTAAGACATTTTTGTGCGAAGATATGATTGCTCGATTTACTTCGATTTTTTTCTAGCAAATATCTATCGCAAGCTGTCCTAATGTTGGTTTTGATTTCTACTTTGATAATTGCTGTATTTACCATAATTTCCTCCATAGCCGCCACTTGAGCCGCCATAGTTGTTGTAGCCTGCTGATAACATCATATGAAATGATAAATATGTTGATTAGCATTTAGTTTAAATGGAATAAAGGAAAACAAACCTGAGTCGTAGCCTTGGGTGTATCCACCACCATAGTTGTTATAGTCGTATCCACTCGGGTAGTTATCATATCCATAAGAGCCTTGGTTACCACCATATGAACCTCCGTAGCCACCATAGCTGCTGCCCCATCCACCTTGATATCCTAATTTGAAACCATTATTCGCTTTTGAGAATCCTTCACCAAAGAAGAATCTTTAAATTTAAATAACTCACCTCCGCGACCACGTCCTCCACGCATATTGCGACCTCCCCCACGTCCACCCATCATTGGAGCGTTCTCAGGTTTAGGAGTCGCTTTCTTTACATCAACTTCCTTTCCACTGATTGTCTGTTTAGGACTTTTCAAAAGCTCGTTGACTACTTGCTCAGAATCGAATGTTATAAAGCAGAAAGCTTTTCGCTGATTTTTTTGCTTATCGAATGGCATTTCAACTTCCGTGATCTAACGAAAATATTAAAGATTTGAATGAAAATATAGGAATAATAAATTGAATTTCAAATACTTACGTTTCCAAATTGTCCAAAATAAGCTTTTATTTCATCATCACTGATTTCTGTTGTCAAACCACCAACAAAAATCTTTCCAGTGCGAGCTTTTGCTTTTTTCGGATCAACCTTCTTATTATTTATAATATGATCACCAGCTTGAACCACTTTGTCAATGGAATCAGCATTTTGATATACAATAAAAGCGAAACCACGTGAGCGTCCTGTTGTTGGATCTGTTTTAACATTGATGCTTTCAATCTCGCCATATTGTCCGAAATGGTCACGGAGTTCCTCTATAATATAAATAGTGGTTTTTTAAAATACATTAAATGTTTACTTATTTTTATTCAACTTACTTTCTGTGGTTTCCCAGCTTAGTCCACCGACAAATAATTTTCTGTAATTTATATTTGATTTACAATTTTGAATAATGCCGAAAAAGAAACAAAAAAAGAATTCGATATAAATTGAAATATAATTTTTTTTGTTAAATATTTTCTTCTGTAGTAAAACATCCTATGCGAAATTTTATTACCATTTAAAGAGTTTTGACATGAGAAACTTTCAAACCGTTTCAACGCAAACGCTTGGAATATCAAAGTAAATTCGCTGAAACTCTCTTTCTTTTTATATGGAAAATTGCATGTAAATCAACAAATTTTTAGTTAAAAACATAAGTTTCTCTTTATGAATCGCTTATCTTAATATTAAATTAAATTAACATCTTATTATGACCCCAAAAAATTGTTACAAACTATTCTTGAAATATCATAACATTATTCATAGAATTTACTTTCAAATCTGTAAAAATTGAAATATTTTATAAGATACAAATTTTCAAAGTTAACTTTATCCGCAGTGATTTAATTTATGTAAATGGGGCTGGATCGACATCTTCTTCTTGAATTTCAGACTCTCGGCTGGTCGAAGAATTGTAATCTAAATTTAAACAAGTGAAATGTTTGACAGCAATAAAGTATCGTAGAATACAAAGAAAAAGCCAAAATAAAGTGAAAACAAAAATGATCAAATATCGTCAACAAAGAGGACCAAAAAATTAAAACAAAAATATTAATTTAAATAAACTTAAAACCCTTAATTTTATATGTTGAATATCTGTCGATTATCTTTTCAAAGTTATTATTATGTTAAGCATTATCAATTTTCTTTAATGTTTTTTCATGTATTTTTTTTTGGTGGATAAATACCATCTCATCACCATTGGCAGCTCAAGCTCCAGCTTCCTGCATCTCTTCTCCTGCGGCACACTCGAGATGTGTTCCTCTCAAGAGATGGGTTCTCACAATCACTCTCACTTACAACCTGCCGGAGAGGAACAAGATTATAGTTCACTCTATAACAGGGGGTTTATTGGACCTAAACTCTATAAGCTTTATGCTTAAACACAAAACTCTTCTGATTTTTACGGTGTCGCTTTAATATTGCTACTTCTCCGATGTGTCCGAAGGAAAAGTTTTTTAAAATTAGAGACTTTATATTCTTTGGCTCAATTTTATCCGTTTTTCAATTACTTTAATCGGCAACTTTCAGGGTTCATGAAAATACTTTAATATTTAAACAAACATCAAAAAATTCTCTAAAATAAGCGCATGTCCATACATGCGCGAAATCTTAAGAAGTTTCCATCAATAAATCACCAGTATTCCATACAATGCCAAGAATAATAACTAGAATTAAATACTATTAAAAGAAGACAAATTTATTTATAAATATATTATATTACTATTATGCCAATAAAAATGATTATCTATTACTTTATGTAAAAAAAAGAATCTTAAAATTATTATATCGTTTCACAAACAAAAATAAAGTTTTCAAACTTTATTCCCAAAAAATTTCTCAGGATTATTAAGATTTTAAAACTCAAACTTTAATAATTCTTTTATTTTTTTCAAGACATTACCTTACAATAATTACAAAATTGTTATTTCATGTTTATTATATGTTATGTATTCATGTATTCAATAAGTAAACTGTACTTTTTAAAATGACTCATTTACCATTCAGACAATATTTTCAGCAATAATCTTTTGGGAAGAAGTTAGACATTCAGAAATTCAATGTTCTCCTAATTGACGACAAAATTCTTCAAATATATTATGCTTAATACTACAAAATTGACACATTTAATAAAATGATATTTTTTGGGAATAAAATCTGAAAATTTTTCAAGTAATTTTGTTTTATTTTTATTTTAATCGCTATGTGAAACATTTGCCGGTATATAAGTTTTTGTCGGGTTTCATAGGTATATGCCGGAAAATGCTATAAAAGTATTAAAAACATGCCACAAAGGCATAAATCGTTGAAAATTTTTAATTTTTAGATTTAATTGAAGAATAAAACCCAAGTTTAAACGATATAGATATGAAGTATTAAAGAAAATAAATTAAAGTGACGTCATTTTAAAGCTTTCCATTCCGCCATTTTAATGACGAGAGCATGTGCTTTGCAAGGTACGCGTCAATGAAAAATTTTAAATTTATACACAAAAACAAAACGTAATCTTATGAAAGCGCATTAATTCATTTTTAAATGCGTTCTAAAATTGATTTTTTAAATACTGGAGCAGTGATGACATCGGATAATATGAATATTTTAGGAAAAGAAATGCGATGCCATAATGATTAAGTCAAGAGTGAGAAATTTAGATGAAAAACAAGCGTATAATTTAAATTCATAAAGAAACAAATTACGTTCAAACTGTTCACATGAATCTCTTACCTGTCGTCATCGCGTCCTGAATTCTCGTTGTTTCCATTGGAATGCTGCTGTTGCTGTTGGTCATAGCTATTATCTTGACCCTCCATTCCATTTCCATTATATTCGTTATCGTGGTGCATTTCTTCACCATTTCCATAATCTTGATTTTCAGCCATTACGAGTTTTTGAAACTTTCTGTTTTTTAAGCACTAGAACTTAAACTAGAATATTAATTAAGAAATGAAAATTTTTTAATGCTTGAGAAGAAAATTTTCGATTCAAACTAAGCAGAATATGTGCTTCACTTTGAGTTGTTATAAACTGACCTAATATAACAAAGTTTCGATCTCTGATTTTTTTTCATCGAAGCATTTAAATTCAAAAATAAAACAGTTACAAATATCTATTTATTTATATATATTCAACTGCTTACTTTTTTGCATTTTTCAGGTTTAAAATAATTTAATAAGTTATTCTATATAATGAAATGGTCGAATGAAATAGGAAACAAATTGTTAATTAGAAGAGACCGTGAATGATGATTACATGAAAAATCTAGCGAGGTAATTTAATTTCAAGTAGGTATCTAAATATCTACTCCAAGAACTTTCCCTTTATAAATCCTTGAGGAAACGTTATTTTATATAGACTGTTTTCTTACTTTCTTTTATCTTTATTTCCTTTATCGAACGACGTTTACACATTTTTAATTAAGTATGCCATTTTCAATATATTTATGAAACATGCTGCTTAGTTACGTTTTCGCATGTTTCACATTTTTTTAGTTGAAAGTTTGAACTCGTATTTCTGCGAAATTACAAGTTGGAATAGAATGCTGTTTTTTGCAATTGGTTTTCAAATTTATCGTAGAATGAAAAATTCTTTGGCTGGAATTTATTCATCGAGCCATTCAAAAGTTATAAGTAGCATTTTTAGTGAGCATACGAATCTTAGTCACGTTTATGCGACATATGCGAATTTTCAGTAGAATGACATGATGATTATTTTTATTGTTTCGTTTTAAAGTATTTTAAAATTTCTGGAGCAAAAACGAACGAGTTCCATGTGGTTTTGCTTCAATCATCGGAGAAACATTAAAAAGGTTGAAATGTTTGAAAACGACGATTTGTGTCCCATCACAAATAGTTTAGATCAGGGGTCGGAAGCCGAAGCGGTAGCGGAAGCTGGAAGCTTAAAGAAGCTCAACTTTTTGAGAAGCC